CATGAATGACTACGCCCGCACCAGTAGTGTGACCGAAATGTTGCAAAAACTCCAATGGCCCACTCTTGCAAACAGAAGAAGAGAGGCACGTCTGACTACAATGTTCAAAATAACTCACGGTCACATGCACATACCCTCTGAACAATATCTTATTCCTGCACAGCGGCGCACCAGAGGTAGCCACGCCTTTAAATACAATATTATTCCTGCAACGAAAGACTGTTTCAAATTCTCATTTTTCCCACGCTCGATACGAGAGTGGAACAGTTTACCTGCCCAGGCCGTACAGGCACAATCTGTGGAGGCCTTTCGGGCCTCTCTACTGTAAGGTCCACGCACCTCCCCCCCCCTCAGCGATACCCCTTACGGGGTTGTTAGAGGAAGAAGAAGAAGAAGAAGAAGACACATACTGTTACACAGTACTCTCACTAACTCTCACAGATATGATGATGATGAACTCTCACATTCACACACTCAATCACTCACTCAGAGTGAAAGAAAGGTCCTTATAAGTTATATACGGAGGCCCTGAGCCTAGCCACTTACAGTATAGTGCGTGGAAATTTTCCGTGGACATCGTTTTCCGTATACTATAGTACTATAAAAGATTCCATGCCGCCCCCCTCCCCACATTCCATATTAATTTGCCCACTGCGCCTGTATTTCTCATTCCACAACCCTTACTTACACATAATTATGACCCTGATAGTTCAGTGCACTAAAAACCTAGACTTTAAATATGATATCTTCTCACCTGAAGCTCCTGGAACGCTTTTTTCAGCTCTTGGTCCACCGGTAAACCCGCTGGGACGGCCATCTTGGAACACTACACTGGAACATCATTTCAAGGGGTGATACATTGCCCTTCAATATATGGAAAAAGATGATTGAAGAAGCCAAATTTGTAGCTACTAGCTTTAATGATAAATTGATACAAAAGACATTAGTTTATTGAGTACTCTAGTAGTTTTTTTGCAATAAAAGGTTATACAACTTGTTTTATAAATGAGTATCCCTTTTGCATAGTGGTACACTCCAACGTTGTGAATGTGATCGGGTTGAAATAGTATCCAAGCAGATGTTAGGGTGTGAAATGGCAACTTTTTCTGGCGGTGCAAAATAGTCACAAAAATGAACGGAGCAACCCAAGAACATCCAACAACAGACTTGGGGCTTGATATACTGAAACAGATGCTCAACAAAAAGCCAGGAACCTTAAAAAAGGTACTCTCCAAGCAGAGGTTTGGGTTTCAACTTATTTTGGGCATTTTTTAAGGCTTTTTTATGGGACTTTCTTTTTGCTTTGTTTTGGTTGGGTTAGCGTAAAACGAAGATATCAGTGCAAAAAGGAGCCCCATAAAAAAGCCTAAAAACACTCCAAAAATAAGCCAAAACCCAAACCTCTGCTTGGAGAGTAAAACAACAAGACCTATGCCCCAAATGTGATATTTACAGGACCTTTTACATGTATGTTACTAAGGGCCCTATCACGTTTGCCATGAAGGCAGGACCTAAAAATATTGTCTACCACTTTGTCACAGTTTCGAAAAAAGTGAAGACTTTTCACTCTCAGGATATGCAGTCCCAACTCCATTTATTTCTGATGTGAACCCTACTTGTGTAAGATTAAACCTTCAACCTGGTTTCTTCTAGGTCTTCGTGTGTAACACTGGAACTGATCAAAAACCAACATATTACACATAATAATGTTATCCCCTGAAAACTGTTTGTGTGATCTAAGATTCCAATAGACTGAACACTACTAACATGTTTACAACATTCTAAGCCTCCAATTCTAAACACCAATTTCTAAAAATTTAGTAATTCTAACATCATAAGTGTACTCATTTACAAAACAGACCATACCCATAATATGCACCTACTGTATTAGAATGTATAACGTTACAAATTTGTTTTTTCTTGACTTGTTCATTCACAAATTGCAATATTCACCTTCCAATATCTGCTTGGGGAATAGAGTTACAATTCTTATCACCTCACCTCACCAGTAATTCTTCTACACGCAAATAAAAAAAAACTCGAAATTTTACCAGAAGAGAAAAGGTACTGCATACAAAGTCACCAAATAAATACATTGACTTGTCTGTATTGCATAGTCAGTAGTATCTTCCAGTTTTGAAAATATTTGTGACAGTTGAAAAAAAATCTGAAGCAGCAAAATTTCCAACCATATCACAATCACCTATTTACAATCACAGTCACTTATTTAGTAATTCTTGATTGTCAATACACATGGTAGGCACTTTGGTATATTAACACTTTGTTAAACATTGTACATGGTAGGCACTTTGGTATATTAACACTTTGTTAAACATTGCACATGGTAGACACTTCGGTACATTCACACTTTATTAAACTTTGCACAGGGTAGACACTTCGGTACATTCACACTTTGTTAAACATTGCACATGGTAGGCACTTTGGTACATTCACACTTAAACATTGCAAAAAGTTATAATTCATCTGCAAACCAAATTACATATACGACCCAGGTATGACATAAAATGAACCACCCCCTCAGTACCCCGCTGGTTTGCCCCCTTTTCGAGGATCGCTGCATGCTTGTATTTCCGTCCCCTTCCTCCGTATAACCTGCACAACGGCGAACTTCCCTATATCGTAAAGCTCAGGTGTGGGGTTGTAGTTCCAGAGCGAGAGTTTGTGCACGAGTTCGCGGTTGTTCCAGAGTTTCCTCTCCACGTACAGCTCGTTGGGCTCCAGTTGGTGGTGGATTCTTCCGCTGTCTACTGCCGCTAACATGTCCATACCAAACCACTGCATGTTGGCAAAAACCTGCAAGAGAACAAGGGTTTTTAACTTAAAATGTTTGTAGAATTCATCTAAATTTGGCAGGGATTTAGCCGACCACAATGTCATGATGCTTCTAGCAGTCATTCCACACATAGGCCCCTAATAGAGGTCCTGACAAACGACAGCATTTACAACTTGACCCAAACTAGTCCGCTGATTCAGCATGTGGGTCTGAGACAGCTGAACTTTCTGGGACACATCCTGCGCATGCCTGAGGATGAACCTGTTAGACTGTACGCCCTCTACGTGCCCTCTCATGGCAGACGCAGGCGAGGCCGACAGCCTACCTCCTACTAAGTATACTAAGTATGTCCAGCAACTACTGGGAGATGAGCACAACCAGCTAATTGAGAAGCAGATCGCCAACCTTGCTTGCGACAAGGGGCAGTGGAGGGATCTTGCAGTCGCCTGCGCAGCAGCCGACCGATGATGATGAGAGGTCCTTTCATTGTGTAGCATGGCTACATCACGGAAGGACCCTTATTCTTTACAATAATGATGGGATCTTTCACATACTTCAGGTGTATCTCAGTGAGTCTCAAACACGGGACGTCCAGCTTTACGTCGTATCCAAAAGGATGTCCCTAAGAGAAGCTATGTCATTTTCACCACAGCCAAGTGCTTTTCCCAAGGGCTCAACAGTGGGGCTTGCCAAAGAATCGAACCAAGAACCTTGAAGTTCAGATCAGAGTCAACAACCCTCGCCATAAGTATTTTCACATCATCACTCATATCAAAGACTTTAAAAATGGTACATACTGCTTTCTCTGCTTAGCTCTCAGCATTTGAGAAAGAGTATGGGAGGTAAACACACAACACTACCAGTGGACTAGCCCCCTGCTGTAGTGATTGCACAATTGTGTGGCTCAAGGGCTACTGAAATGGAGATGGGCCCCGTCCTATATGGACCACCTGGTGCAGGAAGGACTTAAACCTTGTTAAAGTGTCAAAATCCAACACTCAGCTTCACATGTCTTCATATGTACCAAGAACTAGCAGGCTGTGGAACTCCTTACCAGCCTCGGTCTTCCCTGACAGTCCCAATATGACTAAGTTCAAGACTGCTGTAAACAGTTTCTTGTTGAACTCTTAGAGATTTTCTAATTTATGACAATTAATTTTGTACCATGCAATTATGTATAATGTATCTGACAATTTTGGGATCGAATGTGACTGTGCACTTATAATAATTGTTTATTGCAAATTCTTGCCCGAGGGCTAATTGCAGAAACAGAAGAGATATGGTATAAAAACAGGCAATAAGTACATATAGAACTATTGATAACTACTGAGAATCTACTGGTAAAAACTACTGGGTTTGACTTCTTTTTTGAAGACAGAGGAAGACAAAGGATCCCACTTTTTCTATAATTTGTGGGTTTTCGGATGTTAAGAGGAGAGTGGTTTTCTTTTCATTTGTATATGTGTGAAAGTTTGGGTAGAATTTGGAGGCTACGTCAAAGAGTTCATTTCGTTCATTGATAAAACGAATATAATTAAACGAGGGGAATTGATCATGATGTGACATTATCTTGAACCGAAAATCATCGATTACGATGTAAAGACCAGGTTCATTTTGCATTGATTAGAAAAAAAAACTTTGTTAAAACTCACCATCGCGGCTGCTGTAGGGACCATCATGCCGCCTGACGCTCCAATGACCACCTGCACGTTCTTATTCTTGTCAATCATGATGGTAGGGCAGACGGACGACATCGGGCGCTTCCCTGGTCTGGGGAGGGGGGGGGAGAAACGCTTGATTTATTTAATAGCTAAAAAGGTAAAATTTGCAAAGCAAATGCATCATATTTACCTTCACATGGCCCAGCTCAACAAACTACTGCTTTATTATATGGATGACATCCTCTGGGAACTCCAAAACTGACGCGAGCGTGCGAATAAAATTATTTTGGCAAAGAAGATTCCTTCATTATGAAAACTACGTGGTCATCAAGGTTGAACAAATGACTAAACACACATGTTCATTCTTACTCAAACACACTCATATTTATGCTGCATGGCACTTGCAACTTAGTGTATAACCTAAAACCAGTTGACCTTATTTTTTTATGGAACGGAAGAAGAAAAAAATGAGCAAAAAAATGTTTTCCTTCGGTAAACATTAAAATTCTTCTGTATATTGTATATTATATCTTACAGAATACATATCAAAGATCCATTTACAACTTCTTGAATTATGCTATTTACACATAAATACACAGATCCAATATATAACCTTCTCAACCAAGGTAAAACTGATAACAGCTTGTGCAAACTTACAATAATATAAGCAGCGAAGACCTTGCACTGACCTGATAAAATTTACGGGATAATCCGGAAAGTGTATGTTGTTTCTAGGAAAACTAGGGCTGGAGAAGTCCGTCATTTGGTTGTTAAGGATGACTCCTGTAGACGGCGAAACAACGCCCGACCCAAAGTAATAATTGATCGTGCTGGTAACCGCAACAGCATCACCGTTTGCCGCAAGAACGTTAACATGCGTTGTTCCTGCCTCATCGGAGTTGTAAAATCTTGCCCCGTAGTAACCTTTCGAGTCGTCGCTCGTGTGGTGTCCATGATCTTTGATTTTTCTCATGATTTCCTCGGCAAATGAATCAGATGTTAGCTTAGCCACTTCACCAGCAACGTTTTCAAAACGTGGGTCACCTAAATGCGTTTTTTCTGCGGCAGAAAATTTGAACACCTCTGCTATCTTCTGCAACGTGTACGCCAGATTTTCCCCTTCAAGACTTTGTGGGTTCAGCTCGAATTTTTCTAACGTTTTGAGGATGAATTCGAACAATGCCCCACCACCCGGTGGACCTGTAGATATCATTCTCAAACCCGCCGTCTTCAATTCTGAATATTTTGGATTTGTTATGTCTACTTTGTAGTTCTTGAAATCATCTTTGGTTATAATTCCGCCTTGGCTTTGGATATTTGCGACAAGGTTCGTTGCGATGTTTCCGGAATAAAACACATCCCCGCCGTGCTTGGCTATACTGTCTAACGTTCGGGACAA